GAGAGAGAGAGAGAGAGAGAGAGAGAGAGAGAGAGAGAGACAGAGAGAGACAGAGAGACAGAGAGATTTACTTGGGTACCAGGCTATGATGTAGGATATTACACGAAATTTAACAGAACTATTAATTCTAACAGATGTTATTTTTGTGTTTAGCTGTAATTATGCTGGGAACCTCATTGCGTAAAATGTCCTGCTAATTTCACCATTTATATTGCAGTACCATGTAAATGTGATATATTTAGAAACTGTATATAGTAACTGTCAAAACCTTATATAATCGTGTGATTTTACAGTACATTGAATATGTATTTTTCATAAGGAGCATACTATTAAATAAAGTGGAAACTTGAATAAAGATTGTTTTGATTACGCTATATCTATGTCACCGATCATCTTGGATACCTGTAACATTTCTGTAAGTAGTAAACAATCTGATAATCTCGCTTGCATGACGGTTCTTTATATATTCTCCTTATTGTTGCCTAACTATGTGATGGTATCATACTATCTAAATTCTTTAAATTAATAAATAATATCTGCCATCAAAACATAATACTTAGAAGCTAAGCTGCACTGATAAATATTTCTGTTTAAATTTTGGAATATTTACTAATTATTAGTGTGCACATTACATTGAAACATGCAAGGTAGTTGATTGATACACCTCGGTAGGGTTATAGACTTTTTCGCCTATAGATGGCGCTATTAACACGACGCCCAAACACCGCAGAATCGACAGGAGCTGCGAGCACGGAGCAGTGAGCGAGAGAACACGTCTCGTAGGTTTTCCAATCGTGTCTGCACTCGATATTTAAGAGCAGCACCATTATGACAATTTGTTTCGTCTAGCACAGTTTATGAAGCTCAGAAAGCGGACCACTAAACGGAACTGGGGTGAGTAGAATACTGATGTTATCAAGGTAGGTAGCAGTGAAGGACTGGCACCGCGGAAATTAGGGCAAATACTGCAGAGTGCGGTAGGCAGTCGTATGTGCAGTGTACAGCAGGGATGCACAGTGGACTCCACTACGCAGACCAGCAGGGCAGGTTTTATGTGTTGCATTCCATCGATAGGCCAAATGACCCGTTTCTGCTAATGGCCGCATCACAGCAAGTCATTGCCCTTTGGCCAGAGGAATTTTGTGTAACGGTGTAAAAATAAAAATAAAGTGAGAAACACTATTTCTTTTTAGGGCTGCGTTCTAAGTACTGACACTAAGTACTGAACTAGGATACGTAATGCAAAAGGCAACATAATTAGGGCCGTATGCTGAGCAAATGCCTAGACGGGGACAAAATTTAATGTCTCGACTGTGTAATAGTGAGCGACGGGTGCAGCTCTTTATTGACATCCATAGTGTGGTAGATGTGGGTCTGAGACGAGGCTTTCATGGATAAGTGACCAAAAAAACCACGTTAGGGTTATTTACGACTATTACTATTAGTATTAGCTAAACTTGTTTTTTTATTTTGCTCCAAAATCTAGGGGGTCAGCTGCCCCCTTGCCCCCCCCCCCACTCACAGCCCTGCATATATGACCCTATGCGTGTAGGTACATCATGTTGGCTGCACATTTGCACTCCCTGCAGGCTACAAATTTGATCCAACATCAAACTAGTCGATACCTAATTCTCGAACTGCACACGCTATCCCGGACGGCGGACTAGCTGAATACATAACTGAAAACATAAGTAAACTAAAACTATAACATAACTGAAAACATACAATACAACTCAGGACTCCTGATTTGCTGAGTGTTGAAAATGTTTGTGGAGTTATTTGCGAGTGGTTTGGGAGGCTACCAAAAATCAACGTTTAAAAGTTGTTTCTGTAGTCAGGCAACCAACTGTGCCTGAAATTGCGAGTGATTTATGAGGGTGACATAAACCACCTTAGGTTCAACATACAGCCCTAGGCCGGGTGAACTTAGTATTTCTACGAGGGAGGGTGTCTAGTAAGTGTGGAGCCAAGTGTGTTGGGAGTTTGCCCCTCGGATTTTTTATGAACATGGTTGCAATATGATGGATATTGACTAAAAAAATTTATTTTGAAACTTTATTATTGATTTACTCGAAGGCATCATTAGAATGGTGTCTAATTGTTATTGTGAACATATCTACATGCATTACTATTAAAGCAACGCACTGTTCTCTGCTCATTTTATTCGCCTATTAAACAAATCCAAAACAACGCCGCTCTCCTGCGGTGTTGTCAACTGCAGCAATCGGTATCAGAGAGAGCCACACAGCTTTTTTAGGCTGCCTAGCGTGATCACAACACAAGGTAAAGTGACGAGAGACAAGGCGGACCACAGACGCTTGGAGCATTTTCAATAAAAAAGCAATGCTGAATAAACACGACATGTATTTACTACCAATGTCTTAATGTTTCTCTACTCTCTTTCGCCTAGTATTGCCGATAATTACCTGTAAATGCCGGTCAAATGCTCCTCTGCAACACACAGGTACACCGCACGCACGCCGCTACACATTTACACTTGTATACATATATCCAGGGGTTAATGAAGACAAAGTTTGTCTTCATTAACTCCTGATATATCGTCGGCATCCAGTAGCCAGCTGTTTGAGTGGGGGTGGTGATTTCTCTTGCACGTGCAGCATACTCTACATAAAATAGCACCGAGGCAACATGTGAACAGAATTCACCAAGCCCAGGCTTTACAATTACAGTGTGCTGACATGATGCCTGTCCCATTTATCTCATTGTGACCCATGCACGGATAGAGAGATGGTATAATCAGAGACTGGGAGTGCATAACACGTGATCGGATAACGTAGATGGGACTCTCACTGTTCACATGATAGATATGTAGACTGATACACCACTAACCCAACCGCAGAACACTCGATCGTAGGCATCCAGGTTTTTGTGGTTCTGAAAGTCCTTGAGAGTATAAAATGGAATCGGCTAGAATGTTAGGTAGTCAATTTACGAGATCCTAATAAGTACGTGATGGGCACAAGTTGGATAGCGTGCTTTGGCTATGTTGTCTAGTGAATCAAAGTACTTGTCCATACTACGTACACTTCAGACAGTTGGCAAATGTGCATACACCAGATATTATAAAAAGCTGCGTTTGATAGCTATATGCAGTAAAATTGGTGAAATTTCTGAACACTCGCGATGTAAACAAACTCAAGTCCATGATGATGATATGTGTTGATTGCAATCTCCTGATCTGCTCAATCTAGCAATCCGCCGACTGTGCGGCAACCTCATCGAACTCTCATAGCATCCCAACCCACCCTAATAAACCTGCATGCAAAACTCTGCAAAACCGGACCTGCGTAATCTCATTGAACTCTAGCAGATTAGCACCCCAACCCACGGGAAAAAAAATAAAAAATCGAAATAAATGTCAAACTTGAACAAGAAAACTTGGAAAAGTGATGAGAATCAGAGATATCATCGCTACTATACAAGTTATCCTTTATTAACATACATGTATTATACACACAGTAGTAAACAGTGCAAAACAAACAGTAAACAGGGCTAAACAAGCACATACATGCACACATGTACATGCACACGACGTTACACACACGCAGGCATTAAACACCCCGAGTAACCGATTGTAACCGATCATCGGTTACTAGGGTCCAACCGATGATCGATTACGAAATTACAACTGATTGACAACACTACTATAATGACACTATCGTATGTACAATCTATCGATGTAAAATTGGTAGGTTGCGCATATCGGTAAGTCCAGTGCTCAATTTTAAGGTTTTTTTGGGGTTGTCCGGAGGACAACCAAGAGAGTAGCATATGGTTGTCCCTCAAGAGTTTTGGTTGTCCGGATGAAATAGCCTAATCATGTACATTTTGTACGTATTGCAGTGACAGCAGACATGGCCATTCGCATTGTTTCACTTATTATATGAAGAGAATAAAATATTGGTAATGTGGTAAATGATGCTGGGATCAATGACGTATAATAATAGTAATTAAAAGTTGCATGAAATTTATTTCATAACATTTACATTACTAACACTGTGTCAAGTCACAGATGAGTAAAAATTGAAAATTAACACGAAACATTGTTGTTAAACGCGTGATGTTATACTTTGTATCAAGCAAACCAGACAATGCGTCTAGACATGTACGTTTTCAGCGTATTGTGCAACCCTGGCCGTGTGTAAAATGAACGCGCGCATTATGAATATAAAATTTTATAGAGGTTGGACACCGGACAACCACGGAAGCAATTTGTAGTTGCCCCAGAGAAAATCCAGTCGTCACGGACGACCGGACGACTGTTAAAATTGAGCCCTGGTAACACATGTTCGCTCTTTTTGGAACCGGTATGGCCGGCGGCACGGGATTGTAGGTAATATTGCTATTTTTAGTGCAAGTCGCGGAACCCTCTATACACCTAGCAGTGTGCTGGTGCTAGGTGTTCATTAACTAACTATGATCATTAATATGTAGTTTTGATTCCAAATCAAATTAAACTAGTTAACATACCCTCAAAACCAAAAAAAAGGCACAGTGTTGTATTTTCCTATGCCAACCCTGTATTATAGATGTACAGGACTACTGCTGGTGCTCACTGCCTTTTAAAAATGTGATAGGTAGGCAACATGGGTAATTTTATTACACTGGCTGATGAATAAACAATTTGTCCAAAATTTAGATAAAAAAATCTTAAATTTAAAATTTTATTTAAAATTTAAATATCTTAAACAATAAACAATTTAGGTGGTTCCAGTCTTGACTTGCATGTGCATACATGTATACATGGGTGAATAAAAACAAATATGTCATTACTCACCCCTGATGTATATTATACCTAAACATTTTGTGCGTGTTCTTACACTTGATAATACTACTTGGACCTAATGCAAGTATAATAGGCCTATAGTCTGTCAACTTCAAATTTATAGTACAAACATTGCTGCAGTGTACAGTAGAAGTCAGAAAATCCGGACTGTTCGGGGATTTTTTGATTTTCTGGATTCTCGGGCAGTACTTCTAAAATTCAAATTCAAAGAAGAGATGAGCAGGTAAATTTTGATAGTTTATTTATTTTTAGCTAATACAGCATGCTTCATTTATCAAAACGAGCAGTTTTGAAGAAAAATGAAGTCAACACTTGACAAAAATGTTAGAAAAAATTTTATACTACAAAAACAAGAATTAAATTCCGGGTTCTCGGGATGTCCGGATTTCTGGCATCCGGATTTTTTTACTCAAGATTGTTCTACTGTACAATGTACATAGCTTGTAAACGCTGCACTTTTCAACATTCCAGCGTTCCTCAGGAGCAACGCAATGGAGCGATTCATGGGAGAGTTTGTGGACGAAGAGGATGGCAAGGCGGAAGAAGAACGCATCGAAGAGAAGCCGTGCATCGACGACCTCCAGGAGGAGTTCCTGCACGGGGAAGCCATGGAAGAGAAACCCGACGTCGGGGAGCTGGGACCGAGCGACGATCCGGCCCCGGAAAACAACGGTGAGCTGGGACCGGGCGACGAGCCGGCCCCGGAAAACAACGGTGAGCTGGGACCGGGCGACGAGCCGGCCCCGGAAAACAAAAGTGAGCTGGGACCGGGCGACGAGCCGGCCCCGGAAAACAACGGTGAGCTGGGACCGGGCGACGAGCCGGCCCCGGAAAACAAAAGTGAGCTGGAACCGGGCGACGAGCCGGCCCCGGAAAACAACGGGGAGCGGTCGGAGTCTCCGTCGCAGACCGAGCCGGCGACGGCGACGTCGCATCACGACTCCGACAACAACAGCAACGTGTCGCAGGACGTGCCGCTGTACGGCCGCATCCACGCGGTCGTCAACGGCGACGCGGCGGCGGCGGCGCGCTACACGTGCGGCGTGTGCGGCGAGTCGCTGTCGAGCGCGAAGAACCTGAAGCGGCACACGAACATCCACACGCGCGCCGAGGTGTTCACGTGCAAGGTGTGCTCGCGCGGCTTCATCCGCAAGGACTACATGGTGATGCACATGAAGGTGCACTACGGCAAGAAGCCGCACCGCTGCATCCTCTGCAACAAGGGCTTCGTGACGAAGCTCGCGCTTGACTCGCACAAGGTGATGTGCCGGCTCGTCGACCGCTCACGCGACAACCACACGTGCGAGACGTGCGGCGAGGTGTTCTCGAGCGTGCGCAACCTGAAGCGGCACGTCAACAAGCACACGCTCGAGGACGTCTACACGTGTCCGATCTGCTCGCGACCCTTCCTCCGGCAGGACTACCTGCAGCATCACATGCGCAAGAAGCACAATGGCGCCAAGTACCACCCGTACCAGTGCACGTTCTGCTACAAGCTCTTCCACTCGAACATCAAGCTGCAGGAGCACCTGCAGACGCACACGGGCAACCGCTCGTTCTCGTGCACGATCTGCCACGAGGCGTTCAGCAGCATCCTCGCGCTCAAGGTGCACATGCGCATCCATCTGCAGGAGAAATGCACGAAGGACACGTCGCTGCGCCGCTGCGACATCTGCGGCGTCGGCTTTCCCGGCGCCGTGTCGCTCAACAAGCACAAGCTCTACCAGCACAACTTCTGCGCGCAGTGCGAGCGCGTCTTCACCGACCGCGCGACGCTCGAGGCGCACAAGCTGCGGCACGAGTCGACGGACGCGAACCCGTACCGATGCGACATCTGCCGGCGCACGTTCGCGGAGCGCGGCGACTACAACAGCCACATCTGCGCCGCGAGTTCAACCGCCGCCGTCGACGCACCCCCTCTGGTGGTCGAGGCCGACGGCGACGACTGCGACGAGGTGACGATCGTCGACGACATCTCGCAGCCGGTGGCGCCCTCTCGCGGTTCGTCGCCCGACCACCTCGCGAAGGTGAGCGTCGCCTTCTGGCAGAACATAAGCAACGGGGAGGACTGCGGTGCGGCCGAGCCCGTCGAGGGCAGCACCGGTGCCACCTCCGCCGCATTTAAACTGTATGAGATGGCCGGCCTGCCGATCGCGGTCGAGTCCGTAGTCGGTGGCGCGTCGCTGAGCTGTCCGGCGTCCGGCTCGCCGAGCCCCAACTCCGTCGCCGACGGCGACGTGAAGGCGTCGCGCAGCTACCCGACGCTCGCAAACTGCCTGTCGAGTGGGGCGGCGCCCGCAGGCGAGCTGCCGGTGCAGCGGTTCCAGCCAAGAGCGAACCCCCGGAAGTCGTCGACGCCGAAGCGGTCGGAAGTTGCCGCGTGCAAGTCGAGCGCGAGCGGCGGCCTGTGCCTCTCGTCGGCCGTTTCCCTTCCCTGCCAGCAGATGGCGACGTCTAGCCATCAGCTCGTCGATCAGAGGGTCGTCAACATGAGCGAGCTGTCCGAGTGTTCGCACTGCGGGATGTACTTCAGCGACCGGACCATGTACATCATGCACATGGGACTGCACGTTCCGGACAACCCCTGGCAGTGCAATCTGTGTGGAGAGGCGTGTCACGACCGCTACTCGTTCGCGGTGCACGTGATGAAGACGCAACACTGAGACAACCTGAAATCCATCTGTAGTGGTCACGTAACGTCTCGATTAACCTCTCGTGTTTATTGGTTCCGGCCAA